TGAAGCTGAACGGGCGCAAAGGAAGATCAAGACCACCAAGAGAGCTCTCGAGGGGATCACTGCCCCAGAGGAGATCAGCGAGGTCACTCCATTGGCTCCCAATCTCGAAGGCGGCACTACCAGCTCCTTCCACATTGGCCGGGGCTCGCCGTCGAGACGCAAGTCCGGTCGCGGTGGACCGGTCACCCGGCCAAAGAAGTCGAAAGAGCAAAAGCAGGCCGAAAAGGACGCTGCAGAGGCTGCTTATGCCGCTATGGAGAATGACGAACCTCTGCCTATCGCACCTAAGGAGGACCCCCGAAAGGAGTCTCTCAAGAAGGAGGTTAAAGGTGGCCGCTCCAAGGAGCCCACGCCAACGCCCTTGTCCGCCTACGAGACTAAAGGCTACAACCAGATTTATGAGCAGATCTGGCGTGACATTGCCCGGAAAGACATTCCCAAAGTCTACCGCATCAAGGCCTTGTCCCTCAGCACGCGTCAGGAGAATCTACGCAAGACAGCTCAGCTGGCTAGCAAGCAGTCCCGCAAGTGGCAGGAACGCACAAACAAGAGTATGAAGGATACGCAAGCCCGCGCCAAGCGCACCATGCGTGAGATGATGTCCTTTTGGAAGCGTAACGAACGAGAGGAGCGTGATCTTCGCCGTCTTGCAGAGAAACAAGAGATTGAGTCTGCTAAGAAGGCGGAAGCAGAACGCGAAGCCAACCGTCAAAGGCGCAAGCTTAACTTCCTCATCTCCCAAACAGAACTGTATTCTCACTTTATTGGCCGAAAAATCAAGGGCGCAGAAGATGCTGCCGGGGACACAGCCGTGGAAACGACGGGTGAGACCGTCCAGCCCGGCAAGGGTCAGGATCATACTATCGACATGCCCTCCAGTGTTGCTGATGCAGGCACTAAAGTTACGAACTTTGAGGATCTTGACTTTGATGCCGAAGACGAGACCGCCTTGCGGCAGGCCGCCATGGCTAACGCCCAGAATGCTGTTCAGGAAGCGCAGGATCGAGCACGCGCCTTCAACTCTAATCAGGACCAGATGGATGCCTTGGATGAGGGCGAACTGAACTTCCAAAACCCTACAAGTTTGGGAGATATCGAGATCTCGCAGCCGAACATGCTTACCGCTAAGCTCAAGGAGTACCAACTGAAGGGTCTGAACTGGCTGGTCAACTTGTACGAGCAGGGCATCAACGGTATCCTAGCCGACGAGATGGGTCTGGGAAAGACCATCCAATCCATCTCCGTCATGGCTTATCTCGCCGAGGTACACAACATCTGGGGTCCATTTTTGGTTATTGCGCCCGCTTCAACCCTACACAACTGGCAGCAGGAAATCACCAAGTTTGTGCCGGATATCAAAGTGCTTCCCTACTGGGGTTCTGCCAAGGATCGTAAGATTCTCCGCAAGTTCTGGGACCGCAAGCATATCACCTACACCAAGGAATCGGAGTTCCACGTGCTGGTGACGTCGTATCAGCTCGTCGTGCTTGATGCTCAGTACTTCCAGAAGGTGAAATGGCAGTATATGATTCTGGACGAAGCTCAGGCCATCAAGTCCTCGCAGAGTTCACGATGGAAGAACTTGCTTGGATTCCACTGCCGTAACCGTCTCCTTCTTACCGGTACACCGATTCAGAACAATATGCAGGAGCTGTGGGCCCTTCTTCACTTTATCATGCCGACATTGTTTGATTCTCATGACGAGTTCAGCGAATGGTTCTCTAAGGATATTGAATCTCATGCTCAGAGTAACACGAAACTCAACGAGGATCAGCTGAGGCGTCTACACATGATCTTGAAACCTTTCATGCTGCGTCGTGTGAAGAAGCACGTCCAGCAGGAGCTTGGAGATAAGGTCGAAAAGGACATTTTCTGTGATCTTACCTATCGCCAGCGGGCCTATTATACCAATCTACGGAACCGCGTCAGCATCATGGATCTTATCGAAAAGGCTGCCGTCGGTGACGAGGCCGATAGTACGACCCTGATGAATTTGGTCATGCAGTTCCGTAAGGTCTGTAACCACCCTGACCTGTTCGAGCGTGCCGAAACAAAGTCTCCCTTCTCTACCGCCTACTTTGCCGAGACGGCGTCGTTTGTTCGGGAAGGCAGCAACGTCGATGTCAGGTACTCAACCCGCAATTTGATTGAATACCCCATGCCACGCCTTCTTTGCGGTGCAGGCGGTCGTGTCGATATTGCGGGCGCTGAAAATCCTCACGCCGGGTTCCGCGGACGATACCTAAACCACTTGATGAATATCTTCACCCCGGAGAATATGAAACAAAGCATTCAGGACGACGGAGCGTTCTCTTTCTTGCGTTTTGTTGATACATCACTTGGTGAAGCATACGAGCAATCGCACCTCGGAGTCTTCGAGCGAGCAGTCCGCCGCCGGGGTCAGGTTAACAGGTTATCCCGGCTTAACGTTGCCTACGATGACGACAAGGAGCTGGCAGAGTCCGCCCTTCCGCATACACTGTTCAACATCGTCGATCGCAATGATAAGTACGCCGTCAATGAAGTTGCCGCAGAGGGAATAATGCGAGACTTGATGACCGTCTCGCAATCTACGTACGAGCGGGAAGGCCTTAACGTCATTGAGCCCTGCGTCAGTCCCGCCGCATCGGCACCTCCGATCTCTGTGGTTTCCTCGAGCCATGTCCCGTCGATCGAGGCAAAGGACACCCTCTTTAATGCCACTGTTCGACACGCACTGTATAGCATACCTTCAAGACAAGTCGATGAACAGATTATCGAAAAGAAGGTGGACCCTACCCCGTACTCGCATGCCCCCATGCTTCCGCCGCCGATTTCCGCCAAGGGCCGTTACACGCACATTGAAGTGCCATCCATGCGCCGGTTTGTCACCGATTCTGGTAAACTGGCTAAGCTGGATGAATTGCTTCGCGAGCTCAAGGCAGGCGGTCACCGTGTACTGCTGTACTTCCAAATGACCCGCATGATCGACCTGATGGAGGAGTACTTGACTTACCGCAATTACAAGTACTGCCGCTTGGATGGAAGCACCAAATTGGAGGATCGCCGCGACACCGTGGCTGATTTCCAACAGCGCCCTGAAATTTTCGTCTTCCTGCTGTCCACTCGTGCTGGTGGTCTGGGTATTAATTTGACTGCGGCCGATACCGTCATCTTCTACGATTCGGATTGGAACCCGACTATTGACTCTCAGGCCATGGATCGCGCCCACCGTCTTGGTCAGACACGGCAGGTTACGGTGTATCGACTGATTACCCGGGGTACCATCGAAGAGCGGATTCGTAAGCGTGCCCTGCAGAAGGAAGAGGTCCAGCGGGTTGTCATCACAGGTGGCGCGGCTGGAGGAGTGGACTTCAACACGCGCAACCGGGAGAGCCGCACGAAAGATATTGCCATGTGGCTGGCCGACGATGAGCAAGCCGAGCTCATTGAGCAGAAGGAGAAAGAGGCTCTGGACCGCGGCGAAGTGTTCGGTGCGGGCAAAGGCGGAAAGAAGGCAGCTCAGAAGAGAAAGAAGGACATTACGCTGGATGATATGTACCACGAAGGTATGCCTTTCCCTACGCACTTTCCGTATAGCTTTGAGATAAATTCTAACTTTCCTAGGCGAGGGCAACTTTGACGATGCCAGTGCCAAACCATCCGGGGCAGCAACTCCTGTGTCGACCGCAGAGAACGTGGGCACGCCCTCGTCCACCCCGGCACCCAAGCGTGGACGTGGACGCGGATCGGGCAAGGGAACGTCCAAGCGCGCCAAGACAACTAAGGAGCGCCTGCGTCTCATTGACGGCGATGGAGGCCTGGGTCCCAGCTGATCCGATCAGACATTCGCACTTTCATTCTCTCGTTTTACCCATACGATTTGACGGAATGGCGGCGTTTGGATATCATTCCCTCTTGTCTTTCCTGTTTATGCCCAAGTTTCTAAAGGCTTTCCATCCTTACCATTTTCCTCTTATTTATTTTGCGATTCGAACACCTTTTCTTCATTTCACTTCTTTCCTCGGCTTCGGGCTATGGTATCCGAGGTCATGTATTAACAAGGAGCATTTTGATACACGAGATATTAGGTTAGGGCGGCAGTGTGGTGATGAGCAGACTATTGCGGTAATGTATGAGACGGATGGACATGAGCTTAGTCATTATGAGGCATCCAAAAAGCAGCGGCGAGGAGGGAAGCAGACGACGGATAGACGGATGGATGTGGTATGTTTGTATTGTTCTACATGTGATTGGATTTGGAACTGGGATACATTTTTCACTTCATCTTATTTCTGCAAGTTCCTTCTTTCGCTCGGGGTTTGATTATTGATGACATGTGGTTCTGGGCCTTGAGGGGATGAGTAATCCCGGTGACTGCAGTAGTAGATCGGTCTTCTCCGCACTTTTTGCCCCCGTGCGCTGTAACGATCGTCCCCAACACGTATTATGTAGTAGTATTTTCTGTACAGAGTACATTGCCCGATTCATCGGATGGCATACGCCAACGAGCATCTCCGCATCCCAACCTGCATTGGATAATGCAGAAGACAATGCAGTAAGAGACAGATGTATACTTCAAGGAGTAACACCCTGATTACCTGTCCGATCCCAGGGTTTCACCAACTTTCCTGCCGAGCAAAGACCGGGTGGCCTGATGTGCGCCGTGAGTGGCCCGTTCGTCTTACTCAGCAAGCTGTCCCCCATGCCGGCCTGCCGAGCAGCCAATCAGTGGCGTCTCGATCGTCAGCCTCGGCGAGTCATACCTAAAATTACATTCATTACCGGTCATGGAATCCCGTAATCGGGAGGCCAGTAATTTTTCCCCTCCCAAATCTTGAAAGTTCCAGATATCCTGTCTTATTCTTCTTCCTTTTCCCTTCTTTCTCCTATTCACTACCCTCCTCTTCTTCTCCCCATTCCTCCACATCCACTGCTCCCTGATCGTCAATTAGGGGCTATCTCATCCCTTCGACTTGCACTCTCCATCTCGAATTGTCTGCCCGCTCATTCGAGTCTCCATGGAGTCGCTTCTCCAGCAGTCCCGGGCCATGTGCCCGTTCCTCAAGCGCACTTCCCCGACCACTTTGCGCTCACTGTCGACCGCGACCCGCCCCAGCATCAGCCCTGGCGGAGGCACTATGTCCAATCTCCAGGTCCTGGCTCGTCGCTGCCCCGTGATGAGCAAGGCTCTGGCGGTGCAGAGTGCTCGCCTGGCTCACACCAAGCGGTTCACCTCTTATACTGCCGGTGTGGCGGGCCTGAACCCCAAGCAATTCCGGCCCACTGTCGGCAAGAGAGCGTTGCATTCGACCGCTGGCAATGGCGCTGATGTGACCCCGAATGTCTACAAGGAGTCACAGAGAGGTTAGTACTTTTCTTTATTCCTTTCCTACAGCCTCAACACCAACATATATGCTAACGGCATTGTCTTAGCTCACCCCGGTCTTTCCGGCGTCACCAAGCAGCAGTTCGAACCGTCCGCCGCTACCGTGCCCGGCCCTCGTCCCCATGCCCCCAACGCCACGCCCTTCAACTACAATGCATTCTATCAGGGCGAGCTTGAGAAGAAACACAAGGACAAATCGTACCGCTACTTCAACAACATCAATCGCCTGGCCAAGGAGTTCCCCCGTGCCCACACCGCTTCTCCTGAAGAGAGGGTGACCGTGTGGTGCTCCAACGACTACCTCGGTATGGGTCGTAACCCCGAGGTGCTGAAATCTATGCACCAGACCCTGGACAACTACGGAGCTGGTGCCGGAGGTACTCGCAACATTTCCGGTCACAACCAGCATGCCGTCGCTCTCGAAGGCACTTTGGCCAAACTTCACAACAAAGAGGCTGCGCTGGTCTTCAGCTCCTGCTTTGTGGCTAACGATGCGACTCTGGCGACTCTGGGCAGTAAGATGCCCGACTGTGTCATCTTGTCCGACAGCCTCAATCACGCCTCCATGATCCAGGGTATCCGTCACTCTGGAGCCAAGAAGATGGTTTTCAAGCACAACGACCTGGTCGATCTGGAAACCAAACTTGCATCTCTTCCTTTGAACGTCCCCAAGATTATCGCTTTCGAATCCGTCTACAGTATGTGCGGTTCCATTGCGCCGATCGAACAGATCTGTGATCTGGCCGACAAGTACGGTGCCATCACCTTCCTCGACGAAGTTCATGCCGTGGGTATGTACGGACCTCACGGTGCGGGTGTGGCTGAGCACCTCGACTACGACATCTACGCTTCTCAGGATACGGCCAACCCTCGTGATACCAAGGGAACCGTCATGGACCGTATCGACATCATCACCGGTACTCTCGGCAAGGCGTATGGTTGCGTTGGTGGCTACATTGCCGGATCAGCGGCCATGGTGGACACCGTCCGCTCTCTCGCCCCCGGCTTCATCTTCACAACCTCGCTGCCCCCGGCCACCATGGCTGGAGCGGACACCGCCATCAAATACCAGGCGCAGCACCAGCGCGACCGCGTCCTGCAGCAGTTGCACACCCGCGCAGTTAAGGAATCACTCAAGGAGCTGGACATCCCGGTGATCCCGAACCCGTCTCACATCATCCCTCTCCTCGTTGGTGATGCCGAGGTAGCCAAGCAGGCCTCGGACAAGCTGCTCGAGGAACACGGCATCTACGTGCAGGCCATCAACTACCCCACCGTGCCTCGCGGCGAGGAGCGTCTCCGCATCACCCCCACCCCCGGCCACGTCAAGGAGCACCGCGACCATCTGGTGCAGGCTCTGCAGACCGTCTGGAACGACCTGGGCATCAAGCGCGCCAGTGACTGGGAGGCCCAGGGTGGCTTCGTCGGCGTGGGCGTCGAGGGTGCCGAGGCCGCCAACCAGCCCATCTGGGAGGACGCGCAGCTGGGCCTGCAGCCTAGCGAGACCGTCGAAGCTGCCGTGACACGGGAGTTCCAGACTGCCGCTGCCGAGGCGCTCTCCCAGGCCGCTTCCCGCATGCAGACCGCCACTCCGGTGCGCCCTGCCGCTGCCACCGCTGCCTCGATCCCCGTGGGAGTGGCTGCCGCTTAAGCCTATCCGGTTTAGGCTAATAAGGTGGTGGTCTGGATGTTACCACATCCAGCACAGTTGATCGTTATTATTACTATTCTCCCTCTGCTGGCGGATTAAACCCCAGCATGACCATATGACCAGACTCTGGACATTTGCTTACTATAATATGAAATATGAAGGTGGATAAAGACACATGGAACCGGCCAGTCGTTACCGATGATTTTGGGTTCTAGATCGAATGATCATGTCTATTCCTCATTATGCTACAATTATTCTTCCTAGTATATCGTAGATGTAGTACGTATCATGCCTTTTCCCATTGTAGAAAACTATACCAGAGTTGAAAGAGGGTATTAATATCATAGCCGTCACTGTACATAGTAGTTACCAATCAGCACAGCCCTCGATGTCATACAGTCTTCCTGTAAACAATGTACCTCCAAAGACTTGGCCAGCTTCAAGGCTAGTATAGAGCTTCCTGTAAAAGCCTTACTGATGGCCAGCCAATATTATAAGAAAATATGCATCTCTTTGGTTTACTCATTAAGACTATTATTAATTGCTGCATACAGTCTCCCCGTACAAATGGTATATACCTTGTGAATTTGGCCAGCTAAAGAATAATGGTATGGAGTTCCTGTAAAAGCCCTACGACTGACCGACCAGCTTCATGGGAAGATGGAGATCCGAATAAGGCTCCTTCCCAATGACTTAATATGGGTTGGAGTTCATGTCATCATCATACTCGATGATATCATATTCACTTCAGCAGAAGTGTAGTATAAGCACCACATGACTTATTTAAAGGATTTTTACTTAAATCTTACTACTGAATACTTAAAATATATTAATGAAGAGGGAGGTTGGGTTATTGGGTAGCTGACCTTAAATAGTAGTATCACGGGTTTTATTATTAATTACTACTACTACTTACTACTACTAAGTAGTGTGTGGTAGCAGTACGAGAAATATCTAGTATGTTATGGTTAGTTAGTTGAAGTGGGTGCATAAATCAGTAATGTATGGAGAGAAAGGAAGAAAAAGAACTTATCAAAAGTGCAATGGACCTTGGGTGCATAATGGTGGTGAATATTGAGTAACTTCGTAGTGTAGATGATGTATTTACACACAATGAATACAGTCAGGATATAGTTGAGTGCAGAGGCTACTACTACTACTACTACTATTGAAGCTAGTACTACTGATCGTACTTAGTTATTAGTCTTCATTTTCATCGCTGGTAGCATGATGTATCGCTTTTAGTACTTGAGTGGGTTGTGTTGGTAGTCCTGAATCCTTGCTAAATATACTTGATGATTGAGAAGTGAAGGTATATATCACCTAACATATTATGTCATATCGGAACTCTACTAGTATATTTGTTGTATACTACTACACAATTGAGTCCGTCAGACATCAGATGTACGTTGAGTAGGTTAGTACTAGTGATATCTACAGGAGACACCAGGGAGAAATGATTATTGATCTATAAGTAAACTACTGCAAGCTTTTGGCCAATACAAGATGGTTCAGTTGACCAACCAGAGCAATGAGAAGATAGAAAAACGACGTTCTTTTGCCAAGCCATCCATACATACAGAGAAATAATGCTAACTTACAATCAATCAATCAATAACACCCCCATCAAGTCCACTACCTCCGTCCACCACCACGACTAACCTTCGGGAACTCAACGGGAATCTTCAACCTAGCAACCCGTCTAGCCGCAGCCTCGGCCTTACCACCCTTGATACCCCACTTAGCAAACTCCGACTCGCGGGGCTTGTCGACGCGGCAGCCCAACTCGCGGAAATACTGCGTGATAGCCACGTTATCGAGGCGCAGATCATCACGGAGATCCGAGGGGTCGGTAGCCAGCTCGTTGGGGGCGTTTCCGCCGGCGGAGCTGTTACCACCGTCCTTGGAAGGTTGGGGCGGGATGTGCAGCGAGAGGGCGCAGATAGTCGTGTGGAGGAAGGTGATGTCGTTCTTGGAGAGCGAAGCACCCTGGGGCGCGAATTTGCGGCGCACGGCGTCGATGACGGGGTCCGCGATCTGGTCGCCGCTGGCGGAGTTCTCGCTGATTGTTCCACCGGAGAGGATGCGGCGGAGGTCTTCGCGGGGAGGGAGACGCTTGCTGCCGGGGCCGGCGGACTTGTCGCGGCCGGGACGGAGACCGCGGGCGAGTTCCAAGAGGAGGAGGATGAAGCGGAGGATCTGGAGGTGGGTGGTGTTGCCGGAGAGGGCGACGGCTTCGACGCGGCGGGAGACGTACCTCGAGGTGGTGTTGACGGCGGCGCCGGAGTTAACGCTGTCTTGCCATTCTTTGACGTTGGGGAGTTGACGCAGGGTGGCCAGGCCGTTGGGGACGAGGACATCAAGCGGGTAGACTTCTGACGGGTGTGCAGCGTCCAGGTTGGCCTGGGGCAGAGGCTTCGCGGCTTGAACCTGCGCTTGCAGGGCGGCAGCCTTGGAGGCGATATCTGTGGCTGCGTCGGCGGGCATGGCGCCCAGGATGGCGGTTTCGGCGGCGGAGGCAGCGCCTGAGGGCACGTTGGAGAGCTGAGCGTTTTCGGCAAGCGATTGAGCGGCCTTGCGAGATTGTTTGGTACCGAAGGTGTTGGTGAGTTCTGTTCTTTGAGCGCGCATGGTTTTCTAGTGGGGGTGGAAAGATCAGCCAAAGTCCGGTGTAGACCATGGAGGACAGGATTGAGCGAACCATTTCTTCCTCTTCACTCTCCTCCTCTGACTCTTCGTCAATCGCTCTCATCTTGCGAACGGCGCCACGCAGGGTCATCTTCCGCACTTCGATGAACTGCCAGGTTTTGTTCTCCGGGTCCACGACCGCGACGTAGTGCTTGAGCTGGGAGTCGGCATCCTCCTCGGCCTCGCGACCCACAAAGTCCAGCTTGGGGTGCTCGGAGGACTGAAGCAGCAATTCGGACGAGACGATGCCCTTGTTCCGTGACGACGAGGAGGAGGTTTTGCTGCGGGTCTTGAGGTATGGGTTGAGGCGGAGATTGCGCGGAGCGTTGAGACCGGGAGTAGTGACTGAAGTGCATTATATTAGATTATTCCCATACCATATGGCCGTGCCATGAGGGCAGAAAGGCATTGCGTTTAAAAAGGTGCAGCATACTGATCACCGGAGCTAGTTCGCTATCATCCTCAACGACGCTGGAGGCCAGCGGAGGCAGATCTTGCAGCTCGAGCGCGGGCTTCTTGCTAGGCCTTTCATGGCGATCGGAGGCGCGCTTGCGCTTCTTTTCTACCTTATCGGACGGCATTATGTCTGGATAAGGAATTGAAGGGAAATGCGACGCCGCGGAGAGAGAATTGACTGGTAGGGAGATTATCGGGCAGGTGGAGGGAAAATTCCACGAAAAAAAGTTGAAGGCGGTCAGGCGGGCTGTGAGCGGAAGGCGGAGAAGACTCCAGGCGGGCAGGTAGCCTTCATGCGCACACAATCTTCCTAGTTCAATATGGCCCTATCATTATATCCCGATTGATAAGTTGGATATCATGATTTTATTTTTCTACAAGATCATGCTACAGTGGTTATGAAGATTTACAAGGAACATCATATGCGTCGTAAACTTTTTGGTATTTGAAATAAATTCTCATGACCTCTCCATGGCCCGGAATTCTATCGGATTTCCCCAATAGAACCCAGGACACGAAAAATTGACCAGTCCCCACGCAAAGCTCATCGGCAATGGCAAAGAGTAAGATAGTACAGGAATACAGAAAGACCATTCGACTCTTCCACCATGCCTTCCAACCCCACCAAACACATTCGTACCTCCGAAGGAAAAGATGCGGCACTCGCACCCCCACTGTCTGGATCAAAAGGAAATCAAGAGAAGATCGAAAACGTTATAACGAGCCCGAGGGATTGGATGTGAAGATGAAACGGCGGGCTCCGAAGTCGATTGTACCGAGAATGTTGTGGCAGACCAGACAGGCCTCGATTGAGATACCGAACCACGTAACGATCATAACTGGAATCATCATCGTGACGTCGTCGCAATTGTCATGTTTAGCGTTCAAACTGAGCGTTCACATGAAGAGCTGAGATGGAGTGGGCGAGTCATTTATTTGCTGCAGAATTGGTTAGTTGATTGCCGGTTTGCTTTGATTTGCTCATTGCTTTGGATAGCACTCACGATCTAGCTCTCATCTTTCTTCTCTTGCGCTTGAGGCGACGGACGCGCTTCTTTCTCCACTTGGCTCTCATCTTCGAAGAGAATTCGAAACTGATACCAGTCAGTCAGTCACTGTTGGCCCAGCTGGACGACAAAGCGCTGCAACCAGTGCAGGCTGGGAGGGGTTACTCACACTTCTGCGAGGATGAAGAGATGGTTGCAAGAATGATGGAGAGCGGCCGCGGTTGAGCTTCTTGTGTGCGCCGTGGCTGACTCAGCATGCAATGCCGCTAAGGGCTCGCTAGTGTTGCGCCGGCGCTGATTGGCTCGCTGATTGTCATCCACTGCTTTACCGAGACTGGCATTACCGCTTTGGGCCTTGCCCGTGACATCAACCCTCCTGGTGCGTGTACCTTCAGTACCGTGGCATGCGGTGGGAACCCATTACCATTGAGAAAAAAAGACTCGGTTGTTATGATGCGTTCAATGGCATTTAGATTCATTATTCTCGTTTCACCTGTTCGTGTGTCTTATCAAGGACAGCCCTAGCTAGCCCTATCTACTACGGTATAACTATGAATAACATCGTGCTCTATGAAGAATGTAGATGTCCGCCAGAATTAAAGATAGGATCCCCAAGCTGCATTGGGAAAATTGCTTAATAGCCGTAACGGTAGGTCACCGCCAGATCTCCCTGGACCTCTTCTTCATCTTCTCGCAGCTCCGCGGGGGCGCCATTGGCCATGACCCGGTCTCGTCGCTTGTTCTCCGCCCAGAGAGCCACAAAGTATCCAATGCAGCAGGCCGCGGAGAAGCAGATGAAGGACAGACTAATAATGTAGCCATTCCGATACTCAGGCGCATCTTTGGCTAGGAATGCATATGTGGAGATGATACCTCCCGCTGGTAGATAACCCATGTTAGCAGCGTCATCTATTTATGCTTTTGTGTCGACGTCACTTACTGTTCCCGAACCCAACCTGCCATGCCGTGCCCACGCTGCGCCTGCGATGACCCCCTAGGTTCATAGCAAACCAACATACAATAACCGGCATCGCACTATAGCAGCCACAGGTCACCATGAAGAGCGCGCCGTATTGGACGTGTCGATGAGCCTCTCCGTGCACATTCAATAGTATTCCAAATCCAGCCATAGCAATTGCTGTAGGAATCAAAGTGAAAGCCAGCCGATGTCTGGTTAGATCAGAAAACGTTGCGATTACCATCGAGAATGCAAACGCAGCTGCCCATGGTGGAATCGAGTACAGTTGGGTTTGGATGGCTGGTACAAAAGCTCAGTATACAGCGTATTCAGTGATAACATATACATACTTCCGTAGCCATAGGTCTTGATAATAGTCGGGGCGAAGAAAGCATATCCTGAGCTTGTTAACATATACTACTTTCCTGGTACTCACGGATTAAAACGGAAATCAAACTTACCATATGCTGTGACAACCTGCCCGAAGTACATAAACCCGCCAAGGAAGATCTTGTCTGTTATTCAGTCAGCATATGCAGGAATGTATGGCGCCTTCTGGCACTCGCATGTACTTACAGTCCTTAAAGACGGCCAACACATCGCGCCAACCCATACGAGCATCGTGCCCAGCTTTCCCTGCATCACGGGCCAGCTTAGCCCGGATGTACGTTCGCTCTTCCTCATTAAGCCACTTGACATCCTCTGGGAACCCCGGGATGATAAAGAACCAGACAATGGCAACCACGCAAGTGATAACACCCTCGATGATGAAAACCCACCGCCAGCCCCCGTAGCCTCGGAGTCCGGCCATCTTCCCTAGACCGCTGGCAAGCAGACCGCCGAAGGCACCCGCCAATGTGGTCGAGCTGAAGAAGAAACTAAAGCGCTTCTGTGCCTCACTGCGCTTATACCACATGCCCAAAAGATAGAAGCCTGGAGGCACTCTATTAGCGAAAGGTCATTCAGGCTTGGAAAGAGACCACCTACATCCAGGGAACATGCCCGTTTCAAACATTCCTGCGTCTCTATCAGTTTTATGTCGGTGAATATGAATTGCCTTCATACCCAGGAACCAGCGTGTGGTCATCAGTCCACCCCAGTTTGAGACTAAGCCCTGACATATCATGACGAGGCCGAACCCGAACATACAAAAAGACACTGTCATCATCAGCAACCCTATAAGCAGTGTATAACGGTGCTCATGGACGTGGGATACATACACCATACATGAGGTTTCAACTTCTTCAGCAAGATATTGGATGGAATCTCGAATATAACGTAGGGAACAAAGAATATAGTGAGCGCGGTATTGTACTTCGTCCCCGTAGCGATGTTGAGGTCCGTTTCGAGGCCGAGTACGGCCGCATTGCTGATGTTGACACTATACCAGGCACAATCTGTTATGAAAATGATATCCTATTACCGAGACAGCAGGAGGCACATACCGATCCAGGAAAGCAAGCAGATACAGGACGCAGAGACACGGGACGATGTGCCAGTCAATCTTGGCCATGAGCCTGCGCTCCGTGGTTGTGGTGAGAGGAGGAAGATCTGATGTGAGCGCTTCAATGTGGCCCTCGGGCTTCAAACCGGGGTCGGGCTGAGGAGAGCGATCTATTGACTCTGTTTACGCAGCCTGAGGTCACTATTGTCTTCGTGAGACCTCGATTCATATGAACTGTACCTTCGGATGACCCCATTGTGACTGGTGGGCGGAAATATGGATATCGTTGTATGCTTCTGTGTCTCTGCGCTAGATTGCGACACGATGGATAGAAATGTTGTGACCGAATTACTCCAGTTGACAAGGGTGTACTCTCGACAGATATAAGGTGCAATAATAATAATCGAGAAGCAAGGGATGTATGTCACGGAGAGCGCGTAAACAGACAAGATAAGGTGCAGAGACACTATTTTACGGAGAGGACCACGACAATTGGCCACGCAGAGGGGTGCAGGAAGAAGAAGAAAAGACACCGCACAAGAGGGGCAAGCAGGGGTGCCAGACCAGATTGATAGTGAATACGGACTGCTTTGATGGCGGCTGACGAACAATCTAAGCTAACCAATCGCCTATACAGGCCGCGGTGATGAACACGGCAGTGGAGGAGGACCAATTAACTCATTGACTCGGGAGGCCTTACATTAGCGAGGGAATGAGACGGGTCGGATACATCCTACCCATTTCGGCCTAATCCGCAGGTCAGATAGCCTGACAGGCTGGGCATTGCTTAGCATGATTGTCCGATCCATGGTGCCTCCCGACTATGCCACTCGAAGGTTTCATCCGGCCGTCCTATCTGTATAGTCTGAGGCCATGATGATGGCTTTATCTGGGTTGGAACCAAAGATGATGCCAGTCTGGACGGATGTAACATGCCGAGGGGGAGAAAGTTTAAGAGGAATGGAGGAGAACATGCCGGCTGTCAGCTCCATCCAGTCTGCACATTCCCTGTCCCGGGATTCACAGACCTAGTCTAGAAGGAGCAGAGAGTAAGCAGTAGTAGAGAGTAGAGAGTAGGTATTTTTAAGCAACAGTCCAGCCATGGCCAACTAGTAGAAGATTAGTAGATAGTAGCCGTGCCAAACCCACCTTTTTCCCCGCAGATCCCTTCCTTCGCTAAGCTTATCTACCCCACAATCGGCAGTTCTCGAGCAGTTCGTTCCCTAAATTTCAGGCATAATAGAATGGAGTTATAGACATTGCAACGACAACAAAGTATCTGCGCGCTGTCGAAATTTCCTGCTTTCGGGCCACTACAAAATTCATAGGTTGCAACATAAGCCAAATGCACAATGGAGGTCCAATGAGAGAGCAAGAAGATATGGACCGTGTGGCACAGATGCCGTATCCAGTCTCACTACCTGCATAAGTGCGCAAATAGAACTAAGTCTCCGAAGCTGCTCGGAAAAGAGTGTCATGTCTGATCATTTGGGTCCATGCGTGGCACTGGCCAGCCACGTGCTGCCCTTCATTCGTCCCACGTCCCCCCCAACATCCTGAGGATCATTGTGGGGACGCGTACGATGGTACGTTCAACTTTCAATCTAGCAATATGCCCGCCCTTCCGGTAATGGTTCTAGAACACCCATAAACCATATAAGCTAGCTTGTCATAAATAATAAATACTCGCTACCACGAGCTATCATACAATCGTACTATCTCTCTCCCAGTCCGCGCCGAGAAGAGACTCCGGATAGATGAGGGACCATTTATGCCACAGATATTCCCGAAATTCTCCAACATTCTCTAGAAAGCCCACACACGATCACACACGGTCATTAGCTCGACGGTTGATCATCCACAGCCTTTCCCCATGCCTTCTCAAACGCTGAGTCATCGTCCACTGCTACGACTGATGCTCCTGGGGTAGGTTCTTCTTCGTTGGCATCCTCCTTCTCAATCATCTCTGGGGCAGGTGATGTAGGAACATCAAAGCCAGCCTCTGCTCCCGATGGCTGCGTCCTTGAATCGGTCCCAAGCAGCTCAGAGTCAAAGTTGGAGCTGTATATAACAGCCGCGAAGGCCTCTAGCTCTCGTACCCCCTGTTCAATGGAAGTCAGATACAGGTTTGGGGGAGCTGTTCCATTTCCGATCACATGAGCTTGTCGAGCCAGGACGGCCAACACATTTGCAAGCTTCGTTTTCGTGTCGGAGCCGTCAGCCGCGGGGACGACCGTGGCGACCGAGTCAAAGGACTGAGGAACAGACGTGGGCACCTGAGTGGACGATTTGAACGCATCGGCCTTGCATTGATCAATAAGAGTCTGGAAGCATTCGTTGTTGAGGAGTAACATAACACGAATGAAAGTCGGGGAGTCGATCAGATCGGCCGTCTCGTCCAGGAGATGGCGCAGCGACGCTGTCGTTTGAGGTGTCGCGGGTTCCGTCACTCCAAGAACCCCGGACTCCTGCAACAGATAGTCCTCCTCTTCTCGCGAGGGGAGCACATAAGATAACCACTTCCGATGCCTGTTAGATGAATAACGGGTCAGCATCCGGCCAGTGAGACTTGCTCATAAAAAAACGTACTTCCTGTCCTCCTCGGTCTTCCCCTCTATCTTCCCACGGACTTGCAGGATCAATTCCGACAGCTTGCTCAGCGAGATGTCCTCCCGGGGATTCAAAGGTCCAAAAACCTCCGTCACGGCGGCCTGCACCTCCTCCATCAACTGCTTCCAGCCTCGGTGAAGCAGCCACCAACTGAAGGCAAGGTATCTCCGGTTTGTCTCAAAGTCATGTCCCAATGTTTGCGTGAGGTCGTCATCATCATGATCCTCAAGTCGAATAGTTGAACCATCCGCAGGGGGTGTGGCCATGGAGATTACGCTGGAGAGGTAGTTGCGTCGGCCGAGCAGGTTAAGTTGAATTCGAGTGAAGATGGTCAGCAAGGTCAGGGTATAGATGAGCGTAAACGACCTAGTGATAGCTATGGATGGTCTGTTAGACTCCTCGGTTCCTGTAAAAAAAACGTCGATACGTGATAACTCACAGGTTATCTTGACCTCGTTCCACAGCTGGGTCTTGTTTCGCTTCGGACGTGGTGAGCCACCCCCCTCGATGGTCGACTCCCCTAATTGACTCGTACGGACAAAGCCATCGCTTTGGAAGCTAGACAAGCTACGCCGATCATCATCCGTTATACTTGGGCCCACCGAGCTTAGATCCGAGCCTGTTCCTTCGCCAGCGTTAAGACGAGCCAGTCGTTCTGCACGCTTCTTCTGGAGCTCCTTGGTCAATACTTCCACGGGAAGTGCTTCGAGAATATCCTCCGCCGCCGTCGGTAGTAGGGCTAGCACAGTATAGGTACAGTCGGTCTGGTTTTGTTCGAAGCGTCGCCGCAAGCTAGACAAGAGGCAATAGCCGTCAGTTACCGTTGTCGAGCACGCGAGCAGGTCACATCGATGAGATAAGTGGAGGTAAGGGAGGCCCATCACTTACTTCTCCCGAGCAATGCGGTCACTACTCATGCGCTCGCGCGCCTCTGAGATCTTGGACAGCAGGTACTGGCCTGCGAGATAGCCCGCTCCGATCACGCCAGCTCCGATCGCGAGGCCCTTGCGATTGCGCCGGAACCAGCGCTTAGTGGCACTGATCATTTTGGAGCAAAGAGGATCGGGAACAGTTTCTCAAATATATGGAGCAGTATAGTTCATCGTATGAAGTGAAATAGAAAGGAAGAAAAGGAATAATGGAGGTTGGGAATCACAAGGAAAGCCGAAGAGACGGCGTGAGTGATGGAAGAGCGACGGCAAGCACGGTCGGGGATCGAGGGTCCCTGAAGCGGCCTCGGCTAAAGAGCAGCCAGCAACACGTATGATCGTCACCAGCGGGTCAGGCTATGGCGGATGCGAGGATATATGGTGGTCTGTAGATTAGTAGTAGCCAGAAAGGAACGAGTGTGAGCTAGTTGTTGGGAAGGCCAAATGGCAATAGTTTGTGCCACTTCATCCCCGCAATTAGTTGCATCATCGTTATAAGTCACGGTGGTTCTACTCTTTTCATTTGCATCTCGGCCTGATTCTGTCCGACCATGAATGCGAACCAACCTTAGGCAGCCAGGCCAGTGCTGGCCAGGTACCGCCAATACCAGACATTACGGGTGCGGATGCCCCCTATCAGGGCTGATAAGGGATAAGGAGAACAGCCATCATACCGTCACAGGCGAGGGGCACCCCATCATTACATACACGCCATGACTCCCCATTATTCTTCCCTCCATCAACATCATCATCTCTATCTCTCTCTCTCTTTCTTTATCTTCTCTCTCTTTCTCCTCCATATATAGCACCCCCTCTCTCACCTTCACAATCATAAAATACACATGGATTGTATCCCCAGCAGATCATGCCTCCCTCATAACCCGTTCTCCATGTCAACCTCTCCACACCGGTCCTAGTCAATCAATCCCGCTCTGTCCCCCTCCCCCGAACGCCAGCGTCATCGTCATCACCGGTTCCCACCCCTTCAACCCCAGACTTGATCTGATCCATCCTTCGACTAAACACCTCGGAACCTCTTCCCCACTAGACAGCTCAGCTCCCACTCAACTGGACAGTCACTTGTTGCCTGTCGATCGCTGAGTTCAGTTAATTTACTCTACACATACATAGGGTGGCACCGGTCGCTATCCCCATCAAGATGGAGCCCCGCAAAACGCCCCCGGAGTACTTTCTGGAGATCTTCGCAGATACAACCAACGTCCGCGACGTGTTAAAAGGTGAATCAGTTCTTCTCTTCATTGAACCTTTCTCCGTACAACTACAAAGCCTAAATACTAACATTCTCTCTCCACAACCAGGTATCCTCAACACCATCTTCTTCCACCGATACTTCCCCTCCATTCGCCCCATCACCTTCGACGTCCTCGACTTTACCCTCCCCGCCATCAACGACGTAGACCTCGAAACCCTCATCGACTCCCGCGTGAGTTCCCTCGTCCGCCAGCACTCCTCAGCAGCCAGCGCCCCCGATGGCGGTGGTGGCGGGGGTGTCCGGGCCCGAATGGCTGTGGAATTCTACGAAAAGCGACGTCGACGACCGGGAATTTGGTTTGGCGGACTATCAGGGAAGGGCGAGGAAGAAGTATGCTGGGAAGTGTGGAATTTGGATGTGACGATAGCCACTCCTCGAACAGAGTCTGGTATGGACGCAACCCAAACCCCCACACTCAACGCCCATCCGCCAAGCTATTACCTCTCTCTCCCTCCTGTACTGACATGTGATTGCCGGGTCTAGAACGCGCCAAAGTGCGCAAAGCCATGGAGAATATGCTACAGAAAGCCGTCCTGAAGATTTTAGCCGTGGTTAGCCGCGATAAGGAGCACATTCCCCCGATTACTACGAGTGATTCGAATCCGTTTCCTTATCGCGTGGTTCTGAACCCCAGATCGGATGGTTGGCAGAATCGCTTCGGGTTATACTGATGCAGGCTAACCCTCCTATCCCTATTTTCCTCTACTACTTCTTTCCTCCCAATCACACACACTCTCTCTCTCACAAAAGATGTGCCCAGGCTACGGTTACCTGGACGCGAATATTGCTATGACATACATGAAAAACGATGCGCAGGGCAGGGCTGGCGCGGCAGGGCGCACATCTGGGTTTACTATGGAATGCTACCTATGTGCTTTGCCCAGGAGTAGCCCGCCGCCGCCACCACCACCCTGGTCTATTGATTTCCATTCCGGCGTCGGTGGCGTCCACAACTACATCAACCAGCTTTGATTCTCTTGCAAGTGTATTTTACCCGCTTTCTTTGCCCCTTTTCAACATGACGTCCGTCTCCTTCAGATTTCGATCCAGAGGATGAAATGTTTCTTATACCCCCCTCATATCCACCACTTACATTTCCCGTTCATCTTCGACAGAGAAGAGAAGAGACAAGGAAGGAATGGATGAATGAATGACCAGAGGGTCAAGTCAAATCAAGTCATTGACAATTGCTCAATTTTACCAAGAAAACGGAGGCATAATGCATCAAAGTATAGCTATAATAATGATAATAATACCACACAGCTATGGGGGGAGAGAGAGCACGGTGGGTGTCCTCTCCCTTTCCAAACCAACCAGTCAACGCAAAAAGATTCAACACGCAATTCTACTTAGATTCAAGTCATGGCAACAAAATGGTACAGCATGAAAAAAGCAACCACACACACACAAGGATAGCCCAATTCTCGCCTGACAAGGCTCAAAGTATCGTATCGTATCAATCAATCAATCAGTCCATCAATCACACCGCCTCATCCAGTTACATCGAATATTTTTCCAAACATATCGGCATTGCAAAATTATCCCGGAGGGAAGTCTTTCGTATTGCCTTTGTTTTGCAAAATTTCCCCCAAAAACATAAACCGAGACACAGTCAAGTGACTCTGTGAGTTGATCGAGATCAAGTCACAGATTCACCCCGGACTTCACGGTTTAGCTATTTACTGGTCCTTGGCGGCAGCCTCGGCCTGAGCGCGGAGGTTGGCCGAGGTGGAACCGCCCTGGAAGAAGCGGCCGAGCACGGGCTGGATGAAGGAGTGGAAGACAATTTGGGCACCGCTGGAGAAGAGGGTTAGTTGAGTTCTTGGTAATTGCGTGACTGCGGGAGGTGGATAGCTTACTTGGTCTGGGGGAGAGACATCCAGAGGACAAGGGCGAACTTGAAGATGTAGTAGAAGGCTGTATTGTAGAGTCGCGATCAGTTCATGAACGTTCCACTGCCACTAATCACATCAACCATTGCGAATACTTACGGAACCAGTAGGGAGCAGAGATGGCGCTCTCAACGACGGTGAAGAAAGCGTAAACAACCCAGTACTAGAAGAATCACATGCCAATCAGTATAACCGCTAGCTGACGAATGCACCTTGTCACGTGCAGAAAGATAACCTAGGCGTATGAAACACCCGAGTTATATCGAGATAACGGAGGGATCACGAGTAACATACCGTCAACCACTAAACGCAGAAACACGATCATCAGCACAATTTTTATCTTCAATAAATAGTAGGAAATGAAGAGATAGAGCATACCTGCGTGTCATCGGCCTTTCCGGCGGTGAACAGAGCGTTCAGGGAGTAGTATCCAGGGATGAGGAAACCAGCGAGGTTGACGAGGAATTCACCGGCGATGTTGAAGAAGACCAGGAAGAAGTAGATGCCGACGAGGCCAAGGATCACGTAGACCTTGGGGACGGAGGTCTGACGCTCCAAGTTGTTGAGGACAGGGTACTTGGAGAGCTAAAGTGTGAAGAAGAGGAGATGGTTAGTTTTAGCTTCGAAACTGGCGGCGGCTGAGAAATATGGGAAGTAGGCAGAAATCGGAGAACAACAACACAACTTCATCCCCATCCCCCCCAGCTGCGAGGAATCCATTCCGCGACAAACAAACATTGTAAGACAGGAAGGGAAAAGGCTGATACAATGCCGACAGGAAGGAACCTCATCGCAGACCGATTGGGGGGGTGGACAGGGAGGAATAGGACACAAAACCAGAAAACGCACACACGACTTACCTCCTTGTCGAGCTGGGCAATGGCGTGCTGAGCACGATCCTGGAAAGAGGCCATTCTGGAGGGAAAATGAAGATAGCAGAAGCTGTACTAAGAGAAGAATGAAAGATATTGCTTCGTAAACTCTTGAGAAAGGGACAGCGAGAGTCGGATTCGGTCGTTATCAGGGCGCGGCAGAGGGAGAAGAGGAGGACGAACGAGCAGGTGAGATTCGAAAGGACGAGCTGGCGGTTACGGAACCGCCAGCCGGGATGACGGTGGGGTCACGTGATGGGCTCATGACGTCGAGGGCTGGCCATTTGATTGTCCCCAGATGACGTTCCAGCAGGGCAATCTGTTTGACCGGAATAGTAGCAGATGAGAGAGTTAATCATCACAGGGTGGATCAGATGGGGATGTTGGTCGTGTGCTTGATTTCTTATGATTTTACCCTTTTTTCTACTTATACAGGGTATGTATGAGTTCTGGAGGGAATTACTTTCCAGACAATTCGATTGATACACTCGGTATCAGCGATGTACTGCTAGTAAGTACTATAGTGTATGTTACGGGGGGTCTCGTCCGGGCCCCGACGGCAGGGCTTTTTTTCCTTTCTGTGCAGCGCTTTTTTTTCTCTCTTCTGCTTTGGGGCTCCACTGGGGCTGGATTTATCCCTCACATTAAATAGTGAGTTATTGATTAATATTAGTTATTGGACGACTCTGATATGGCTATACATAGTACTTATATCTACTGTTTTATTTCCCAACATATGTGTGAGTACACTATCCCGATGTTGAATCATAGTAGAGAAACACTCCAACCACCAAAAAGTATCTTATAAGTAGGTCGTAGATAGAGAAGTGTATCTATCTTCCGACCAGGACACAAAATTTAGGGCCTGCTTGAACCTAGTACCAGTAGTAGTAACTAAGGAAGTAGGTACATGAATTCTGCATCTGCATCCATCCCCATCAACCAATAATCGAACCTCCTTCTCCTCCCCAGTAATAAAGCCCACCTTCTATACATAGTTTAGAGAGAGAAAGAAATCAACCCGGGAGAAAGAGAGGAAGATCCATTCCCGTCCCCATCCAAAGATCGAACGAATCCCGATCGCCTACCAAAGTTCAGACTGGTTGATACGTAACAAGATCTGCAGTGCATCCAACAAAACAATCCATTCCCACACAGGTCGGAATGCAACTATCTATCTATCTTTCTATCTACTTTCTGTAGGTGTGGAAATTCTCTAAAAGAGAGAAACACTTAGGTAACTATAATATCAATAGAAGGTGTCATGGTTTTCTAGAATTATTCTAGACAACAGGATCTTGTGGAAAGAAGTGGATTATCGTGTTTATGTTTGTGTTTGTGTGTGGGCGGAATTAGTTTCCATTCTGTCCATACAATGTACTATCCCACCATCCATAAGCCTGTGAACCTGATAGGCAGAGAGGTATTCAGCTAATGAGTTAGCGAACCACGCTTTGCTTTTCACTTCCTTTCTGGAAACAGGCTGAAACGCGAAGAACTATGGTAAAAATATGTGTCTCCAATTTCAATGTGTAGCTTGTTGCTGTGCCAAGTTGTTTCTTATGGTGTGAGTGAGCATCTTGCGACCGAGCTACAAAGCACAAAACCGACCATTGTAATCAAATAAATCCGAGCTGCTTGGAAATACACAATGGCAAGTGTATAATGATAGTATTTCTCTTTGTCGGTATCTCACAATCAATCTGTCTACCCTCGTAGCTATAGAATTCCACCCGGCATAATTTTGCACACCCCAACATCAAACATGGTACATTACGTAGGGCTACATTGACCGTCGCTAATAAATCACATAGTTGAAGATCCAATTACAACCAATGTCATCTTCAAAAGCGAGACTCCCCCTGGCAGGCAGAACCCTCCCGGCCGAGCCCGAAGTGACAGTGAAAGATCCACGACCTGCCCGGTCTAGACATCATCGGCACTCAAATGAGGAAAATGGTAAAAGAGAGAGGAAGAAAATAAACAGGTGTAGTAATAGAAAATTCGAAGAGGATCCCGGGGAGAGAAAAGTAAAAGGAGAAATCGCTCGTCTTCAAATCGAATAGAGCAGTGCGCCATCAACCATCGTCCATCCCCAGCCACCAAAAGGTCACAGGAACGCCATCCACAGAGCAAAAAGTCGGTAGGGAAAAAAATGGGGGCATATCAAAGACAGATCAAAACAGCATAGAATGTAATGTGCAGGTATTCGAAGTTTTTGCAACACGTTAAACCATGTCAAGAAATAACAGCCACTATGTCTTCACCAACGTCTATTAGCAATGTCAATCAGTCTCACTGACGCCATTGCCGGCTCCTGCAGCCGCAGCGTTATCTCGGTTGCCGCTATTAAACGTGAGCTTCAGCTTTGGCGTAGCAACCGCTGAAGGTGTTTCGGCCCCCGAGGCTGCAGCAGTCGACTGATCATTTCCGCCTTGTCCACCCAGGTCATCGTAGTTGGCAAACTGTGGGTAGCCTTCGGTCTCCTTCTGGAGCTCCGCCAAACATTTTGCCTAGGCAATGTTAGTCGCTGCTCAATCTCGTCTGCTTACAGATGTCTACTCACCTCGATATCATTGGCATCCTGGAACAGGATGCTGCCATCCTCGTTGTAAGTCCGGGCATTTTGGCAAAGGAGATGGATGTCATTTCGGAAGTCCTTCAGGCTCTGATACTCCTCACGGTTGATCTTCTTCTTGATCATATCCATGGCGATCGGATTCTGAATGACCATGTAATAGTCGGGATAGTGCGACTTGGGCGGTGGCTTCATGAATGGCTCAATGATGGACCGCGTAACAGGGCCATCCTCACTGTCTGATGAATCGGCCGGCAGCTCCGCCTCCATATCCATTAACGCTTGGTATACGGTGTTGACAATGCGCTGCAGGGTGGCACGATCCTCAGGCGACAGCGTCTCGACTGGCTTGGCTTGTCTTCCCCTCTTCCGCTTTGGCTGAGGCGTTTCCTCCACTACCTCCTCAGCCTTGCGCTTCGGAGCGGGACCCCTGCGACGCTTCTTCGGCTGAGGTGTCTCGGAGTTCTCGCGGGAAGGTTCCGGTGAAGAATCACCCACTGTCTTCTTTTGACGCTTCTCCTTATTGACCCGACGCCGCTCGACCCTCGCCTCCTTCCGAGCGATAGCATCCTCGATCGTGTCATCATCCGCATCGACAGCCATAAGCCATTGTTCCTCAGTAAGACCATCATCATACCGGGTAATCTTGCGTTCACGTGCACCGCGACCAGCTAACTCGACATCGACCTCCTCAGTTACCGGGTTATCCTCCGTAAGATAGATATCGGGCAACTCTTCTTCGCACATCAGACGAGGGTACTTGTGACCAGAACCGTACGGTACGGTCTTCTGTCGGTCTTTATCAATACGCTGGAAAGTAGTCAACTCCTCGTCAGACCGCGCCATAATTTCGTTCAAATCATCATCATCCATTTCTTCCTGATCACCAATCTGATCAGCAGCCTCGGCAGTCTCCAAAAGCGTCCGCAGCAAAGCGTCACGCTCCTCGTTGGTAGACTTGTTGTCGAACTTTCCTGCTTGGATGACCTTGCCATCCATATCAAGCTTGAACTGAGCACGCTCCAAAATCTTCTCCTCAACTGAGTTGGAACTGATCAGACGCAAGATGCGAACCTCATTCTTTTGGCCGATACGATGCGCACGATCCTGGGCTTGCAAATCCTGGTGAGGGTTCCAATCAGAATCGAAAATGATGACGGTATCGGCGGACTGAAGATTGAGACCCAAACCTCCCGCACGTGTGGATAGCAGGAAGCAGAAATATTCCGAGTCCGGGGCGTTGAACAATTTCAACAGATCGGATCGATCGTCTGACTTGGTGGATCCGTCAAGACGGAGATACTTCAATCCACGAAGACGCAAGAAGTCTTCCATGATGTTCATGATCTGGGTCATCTGGAAGAACATCAGGACGCGATGGCCAGTAGCCCGGAACTTGGGCAAAATCCGATCCAAAAGCTCGAATTTACCAGCAGTACGCCAAATCAGATCATTGGTTCCTCGTCCAGGGTTCATCTGGTCTTCCACTGGCTCAAAAACGAAGGGATGGTTGCAGAGTTTTCGCAACTGCATCAGCATGTTGCTGAGACCACGCATACCGGTCTTACCTCCCTTGCCATCGCTGACGGCCATCTTGTTATGTGTAACAAGCTGCCTGTACAGCTTGGCCTGCAATGCAGAGAAACGACACTTGATGACCCTCTCTTGCTTGTCAGGAAGATCTTTCTCGACATCCTTCTTCAGACGTCTCAGCAGGAAGGGCCGCAGAACCTTGTGAAGACGACGAATCACCAGCAGTTGTTCTTCTTCGCTCAGTTCCATACGATCTTGTCCACCTGTGTTGGCAAAAGGCGTGTTGAACCACTCATCAAACGACTTGACAGACTTGAAGATATTGGGCAAAACAAAGTTCAGCAGGGCCCACAGCTCAGGAAGGTTGTTTTGCAAGGGTGTACCGGTCAAAATGAGACGGTAACGGCTAGTGTAGTATTGTGAAAGTGTGCTGCTCAGCTTGGACTGGGTATTCTTCATACGATGACCTTCATCAACAATCATGTGAGTCCACTTGATCTTGCTCAGAATCGGACGATCCTTGATGATGTACTCGTAGGTCGTCAACAGAACCTGGAAGTTACCCCAACGAATCTGTTGCTGCTGTTGCTTACGGGCATTCGGGGGTCCCTTGTAGACAACACGAAAAACGGACGGCGCCCACTTCTCAAACTCAAGATTCCAGTTGGTAAGGGTACTGAGAGGGACGATGACGAGGAAGGGACCATTATTCTTCTTCCTCTCGATGATGTAAGTGATTAAACTGATGGTCTGGATGGTCTTTCCGAGACCCATCTCATCAGCTAGAATACCGTTGAGGTTGTTGTTGTAAAGGGAAATCATCCACTGCAGACCCTTCATCTGGTACTCCTTAAGTGTACCACCGACAAGGATACTAGGTTGAACAGTCACCTCCTCCTTGATGCGATGTGCAACAGCATAGTAATCGATCTTCTTCTTTCCGTCGCCTTCATCTTCGCTTCCGGAGGCAATCTCCTCTTCTTCATCTTCTTCGAAGAACTGGTCTTCTTCGCCATAGCGCTCGGCCAGACTTCGTTGTTGCTCCCGAACCGAGGCAGCAAGCTGCTTAAGGAAGTTGTCGGTCTGCTTAAGAAGGTGAGAGATACGAGAATCCTTAGCCTGTCCGAGCAGCTTGAGATACGTTTCCTCATCGTTGGCCTTAAGAGCCTGGAGACGTTGCTTGGCGGTACGCTCCACACGTCTCTGTTCTTCACGCTCCATGTGCTGGTGGTGCTGAAGCATAGCACGGCCCAGTTTCTGCATACGAGTGCGCTGTTGGGCAGCAGCAGTCTGCAACTCGGCACCATGAGTAAGGATAGCCTGGAGATGATCATACTGCTTGCGCTTTTCTCTCGTTTCGCGGGCATCGCGCTGCTGTTTCTCCAACTTCTCGGTAATCCGAGCCTCCCGTAGTGATTGCTTCTTCATACGGCGATGACTCGAACGGTTCGCAGTCATTCCTAGATTGTCAAAATGGAACATCTCATTCTGAATCTGCTTCCGAAAAAGGCGTTGTTTCGGTAAAAGATTCAGCATCTTGTATTCGATAAGGGCCTTGAGTTTCACAGAATCGTCGCCAGTGGCGGTATCGCTCTGGCTAGAATCCCACGCGCCAATATTGGTAGGAAGCTCGGCCAACTCCGCCTTTCGTGCGTTGATTCTGTTGTAGAGGGCTATTTCGCGTTCCTCGCGCACTTGCTCGAGGTCAATTCCAGGTGGCATCAAGGCGGGAATACGCATGCGGTTGGCGCGGGAGGCGTGGTCGGTAAAGCTGACAGACTTGGGTATCAGGTCGTAAGGCGACTGGAAGTTCTGATAGAAATCTTTGTGCTGAGGAGCCTCTGTTGTAGCTGCAGGCTGATCAGGCTTGCTCTGAGCAGTAGCTTCCAAGACGCCTTCCGCTGCCGCAACATTCTCGGACGGAGCAGGAGTCTCCTGCTTCTTCGAAGGGAAAAGTTGCTGCTGAACGCGAGCCGGGATCGGGAGGTTCTTCGATAGCATCTTGAAAGCTAGGATTTGGTTCCTAAGCGTTGCAAGCTGCTCAGCAGAGAAACTGTTTCCAGTTCCAGCCGCGCCCTTCTGGGGTGCGCCCTGGGTTGCAGGCTGTTGACCACCTGTCGCGCTAGCATCTGGTATATTGGTATTCGTCGCGTTGGGAATGGAATTGTTGCGACCTACGATAGTTCCGAGTCAGTGAGCAAGCCATCAATGTTATATACGATAATAGGAGATGGGACGTACCATTCATGCCATTCGCAGCGACAGCCTCGGTATTCGAGCCATTGAGCTGCTGCTGACGTTGCTGCACCTGCAACTGCTGCTGTTGCATTTGCCTCTGTTTGTGGTAGGCTTGTTGCCGCTGGAAGGCTGATAGAAGATTGTGGGCCTTGAGGTATTCAGGATCATCATGGCGAACGCCTTGTTCCTGCATCTGTTTGAATTTCTATTGAGGAGCCATGTCAGAAGATTTTACATTTGAAAGCCAATTGATTATATACTGAGAGAAAAGAAAGCAAGTAGGATAGAAGGGCGAAGTGATGGTAGTGCTTCCACAAGGGACGGAAAAGCATACCTGGAAGACCTCTTGGATTTGTTGTTGCGTGATGTTTGGCGGCAACGACATGTTTCCAGCCGCCATACTGGGTGCTGACTGGAGAGAAGCCATGGTTTAGCGCGTGGTGGACGTAGTCATAAGCGAAACGACACGCTGGGGGGCGACGTGGAAGCGACCTGGATGCGACAGGCCCCGAACAAGCGCCTAGGGAAACACGTGGGAATTGAGGACGGCGAGGGTAAATGGCAATTCGCGCAGGGAAGGGCGATCGAGTGCGCTAAATTACTGATGTGGAGGGATGGGGGGCTCCTTATGTCGATGAATGCGACTGGTAGCGGCCTGTATCTGGACCTAGGCGACAAGTTTCGTGATGTTTGGACCAAGCCGGGGGAGACACAGGGCGGTAGGCGACAAAACAGGAGAATCAGGAAGAAGGGGGAAGGGGGTGTAGAACACGAGGATGTAGGGGTAGAAAGGACCCCAGACGGAGGGGCCGCGTTGGAAAAGGCGCGTGGAAGGCCAGTCTGGATGAAATGGAGATGGAGGGGACGGGGCTTTCGCGACTTTCCGTGCTGGTCGGGGAAACTGGCGGTGCTCAGCCTGTGCCTGTAACGAGGAGAGGCAGGCGGCGAGACGTTGGAAGAAGATTTCGTGCCGGGTCACGTGCATTCACTTCCCGCGCCCGTCGCTGACTCAGCTTGGCCTGCTCGCCGGCATACCCGCCTTGGGACTAGCGTCGTGCCCGCCCTCGGCACTCCGCGCTAACATCGGGATACTACGTTAAGGCTAGACTATTCGTGAGGTGCGTATACGAATACGCCAGCATCAAACGCCGATGACTTGATTAAGGCCTATCCCAAGGGCTAAATAATTTACACTACCAACCCGGTCTAAAAAAGAAGAAAAAAAGAAATGCCTTATCCCTTATCCCTTATGCACCAACACGTCTGTGCAATCATCCACCATAGCTGCTGGTGCAGGCCCGAATTATCGCTGATCATCCCTTTCAGACTACTAGCGACCGTGCGAGGCTTTGCCAACTGAGTCATTAGTTGTATTCATCACTCCCCAGTAGAGATGAATACGGCGCATATGTGGTCACCCAGGCTAGACGGATTTTCCGGAAATCCGTGAGCAACAGTTTGGTATATAGCCCGCCAAATCCTCCAAGCTCCAGCTTGTTCGTAGTAAGATACACCCTGGCCAAATTAAAGAACTCAGTACTCGCCTGCACTGAGAATGGGGCGCTTCATGGGAGGCGGTGGCGGCGCAGGCTTCTTGGAGCGGGGAGGCGGGGGTGGAGGGGCCTTCTTGTTCAGTGGTGTGCCGTTCAAGGTAGTAGAGCTGGACTTTCTCGAGACAGCACCTCCATACGAAGAGACTGGAGATGGGTTCCGGCCCATATACGTCCTCTCGGGACTGGTGCCGCTAATAGGACTAGCATCCTCTGACTGCTCCATGTACGGATCAACATATGGTCTGCCCATGGTCCGGGACTGCACGCTATTTCTGCGACCAATATAGTTGTCACTGGCTGCGCGAGATGGCCATTGGTATGTGCCAGGGGATTGCTCTTGGCGCAACTGCGTAGGTCCCTCAAAGGTCGAGGTTCTGTTCAGAACAGGTCTCTGAGAGTAAGCATCTGGCGGGTAGACCTCTCTGGCAGAGGGCTCGATCGAAGATGCCCTGGTCGATCGGATGATAGGACGCAGATCAGCCGTGTTATCGGTCTCCTCATGTAGTGGTTCATAGCGTTCATGGTAGGAATGCGCAGTGTTTGAGCGAGGGCGTCCTGGACGACGGGTGCTGGGAGGCTGAGCTCTACTAGTACGTTAGCATGACGAGGTAGATCAATATTTCGAATATGCTCACCTGTTTGGCCACTCATACTTGAGTTGCAGAAGAACATCACGACAGCGCTCGTGGTAGTCAAGCTGAGCCTCCAGGAACGCTTCCAGGTTCGCAACACCGTCAACTTCGGAATCCTTAATGTCCTGCATGCGCCGAGACACATCATCATTGGCCTCTTCATATTTGACCTTCTGGGTCCGGAGCTCTTCCTCCACGCGGAAGTCTTCCCTCTTCGCCTTCTCCATTTTTGAGAGGGACGTATCGTAGGCCAGACGTCGGCTGTCCAGCTTCTTGCGAGCAGCCTATAGAACATCGGGTCAGCATCTCATACCACTCAATTGGCGCTTGCAAACTCCGTCATACCTGGTACTCTTTCATCTGAGTCAAGGAATGCTCCAGCGACTCAAGCCACCCCGCATTCACCTGCGAGATGTAAGCGTCCTGGAGACGAGCCAGGCGCTCCTCAGCCCTTCCAAGCACTGTGTAATAACGTCATTAGGATAGGAATGCGATTTGACATTTGTGTTAGCTTACTGGTCATGCAGCGGCCGTAGTCAGAGTTCGCATCGAAGTCTTCGCCATGGCCAACCATGCTACTACCCAGATGAGCAATGGGCAAGGTCTTTTCCTTATCGTCACCTTCGCTCCGCTTCGAAATGGACTTGATGTAAGAGCCAGTCGCCTTGTGGATACGGTCAATTCCTAGATGAGGGGGGCGCATGAGTCAATAAGCTGGATGAATACCAAACGTTTTTGATGTTGTGATGCTTACCTTCGTGGCGCACGTTCATCTCCGTCTCCATGGCTTTGAAGTCATCAGAGAGGGTGGTTTTGGCCTCTCCGCCCATTCTCTCCCCGGCCCATTGCTTGAAGCGATCGAACTTGCGATTGACGTTCATGTTGACGGATTATGATAGTGGATAGAAAATAGAGTGGGAAAACGAATGTTGTATTGATCCGAGGTTTATGCTTTAGAGAAACGAGGTTACTATGCGACCAGAAACCAAGCTAAACCGTCTAGATGAAGTTTGTTTCTAGAATCGAGGGTTGTTGCAAGAGGGGTTGAAACGAAAGAAACACGATTCGTAAGAAGCACGCTGCTGCGTATGAGACAAAAAGATGGCGCCACAGCCAGGAGGCGAGAAGTGAGAAAGAAAGCAGAAAAAAGAAAAGGGTAGGTGGTAGAAAATGGTGCAGCAGAGTTGCGACAGACAAGGAGGAGGGACGGGTTGGGTCTTAAGGGAAGGCTCGAAAAGGGTGACAGGGGAAATTAGTTAGCAGGTGGGATCATTTTTTTCCATTTAATATTATTATGCCTATTGATTAGTATTAATATTATTATTTTAATTTTATTATTGCTAACCATTATTATTTTTTCCGGGCAAGAGAGAATATTATTAGTAAATCCGGGGCAGCGATTGCGACCATGGCAGTGTTGATCGAGGAATGACAGACAGCAACGAGACCACAATGCTATTGCCAATCGCAAGCGGGCCAGACAACTCTCCAATGGAGAGCTGGTTGCACGGAAAGCGCCACATTGCCTTTTCAAGGTTCCCAGCAGAATTTCTCCCCCACCAACACTCGACAAAACCGACCCGGGAAAAAGAATTTGGTCGCATGGTGACTCTGCCCCATCCATTCCCTTCTATCTTTCACAAGTGTCATACTTTATGTACTGATTCTACTCTTCCTGAACCCTAAGCAGCCAGTATCTCCAAAGCAACCATCATACGGAACGGAGTGCGAAGCAAACCAAAGTCCCTGTGATGGATGGAGGGTTCGATCCCTCCAATGGCCAGTGGAGGCGGGGCCAGAACCGCCATAATTAAGTTCGGTTGGCCCAGCAGGATGAGGTGTACCTGAAACCTAGCAGCTCTCCTATCTGGAATTTCCAACTAGTGGGTTGGTCTACTTTAGCTGGTTTTAGCCAAGGTACAGATGCAGTCCGGTGGCACAGCCGGTTGATAAGTTGCTGACGAAGGCCCTATCATTATCATCGACCTGTAAAACCGGGTTTGTCAAAAAGACCTGAGCGGATCTGGAGGTGTATCAGAATTGAGAAGCGTCATAGGCCAGAGCAGATTCTGGACTGCCGGATGTGACACGCGTTTGTGGGCCATTGCAGTGGGGATCCACTGCCGTCGATTGGCGGTCGATGGCCGATGGTCAGTCCCAAACGTGGTCCTCCATTGGAAGCTCTCTTTGCCACCAGTTGAGTCTCGTTCTATTTTCAGAACAGACTGTGGGCGGCTACCTACCCAGCAGCCAGATGGTCTAGATACACCGTCTTGTGAGTCTGGAAGTCCAGAGAGCATCAAAAAGGTTGGTTCATTCGATCAGAGAGTTACTATGATGCTTAAGAGGCTCAGGGTAAAGCTTCTGTTCTTTGTAGGTGGGGCTGCCCCAATGATGAACTGTAGGCTGTGTAAAGATCTCCCACAGGATGTTCGGAAGGAATTCATGAGAAATCCAACAACAAGCAAATACGGTTCAGGGTCCAAAGCGACAGACACGGCAGAAGGGGCCCCTACTGTATAGTACGTATTTTGTACCGACAATCCTCCCTCTGATCATGACTCTACACGGTAATTTGAAAGCGCCAGCGTTGGACGCGATCATCAGACCATGATGCAAGACCCGGTCAATGCATCGACAACAATGGCTATTGGTGAGCCATGAAAGCTTATCTGTCAGGAAACTGTAGGTAAAATTACGGCCACGTATCGCTGGAATATCACTGCAGTGTTCAATTGCATGGCGTCTGCTTTACGTTGGGTGAGGGCACAAAGTATCTGAGGATGATCTTATCCGGGGCTCCAAGACATGATTCGTAGATCCTGCGATTAAACCTATCAAGAGTCATGACGACCTTGAACCCACATCTCTTTCTCAATCTGAAACAAACATTCGATGCGGAGGTCATGGTCAAACGGGCAACGATCACACCTTGTGTTTGAGAAAGAAAGGAGACCCCTACACGGAGAAAAGTGGGACCCGAGGATCAAAGGCGGGTTAGAGGCACATCTCAACACCACCACAGTGCTCAACGCCTCGGCACTAACGCAGGGATGCTGGCATTCAGTTCCTGCTTCTTATTAAGTACACGAAGGTAAATCCGCTGCATGAAAGCTCTGTGGAGTAGTTAGTACTAGTACTAGTATGGTTCGAGAAATAAGTTGGTTAGGACGATAAAGTGCTTCAATGTTGTTTTATATATCAGTAACTGGTTCTTCTCGAAGCCCTACAATTTCCACCAAGCGCGGAGTAAATTGCTCAAGGCACCGAAACAAGCCAGGCCTGACAGACCTAAATGGCTCGAAGAAGACAAGGGCGATACTGGATATGGTGGCATACTCACAGGCCAAGGTCTCAAGGTTGGAGCTCGAATAAATGCATGGGAGATGCTCAAGCTGTTTTCTTCGCAGTCACGTGTCGTACGCTCCGCCCCCTCGCTATCATTCCTCTAACTCACCTGTACCTTGAGAATTGGACTGTTCATTAAATATGGCTTCTTCCTTATTTATAGACCTCGATGGAAACCCCCTACACGATAAAGAGGTCTTAGGTTACGGGAAAACTGGGGTAGTGACCTGTCGTGACACTGTCGCGGTCAAGATTCCCTTGAGACACCCGTGGAGTAGCGACGAGGACGTGCAAACAAATGTAGAAGTCCTTGAGCGTGAGCAAGGCATCTATCATCGTTTGAATCATCTTCCAAGGGAGCAAATTGACTATATTGTACCTTGTCTCGGGCTCTACAAAAATGCCACACACCTCGGTTATATGGAGAATGGAGATCTACGAACTTACATGACAGAGAATCGGCCATCTCGTGCGCTCCAGATTACATGGTTTCGTCAAATGGCCCAAGCCCTTGAACAGATTCATGATAAACGCGTGCTTGTGGCAGATGTTGCAACTCGCAATTTTCTGCTGGATTCAGATTTATCTATTAGATTCTGCGACTTCAGCGAAGCATCTCTTTTACCCATTGATACTGTCATGGAAACGGCGGATGACGATGGATTTTCCATCCAAACAGACATTGGTCAGCTTGGTGCAGTGATGTACGAAGTGATTACTCGACAAAAATGTGACTTCGACCTCTTCCAAGAGGGAGTTCCTCTAGACGGCCGAGCTAGTTGGCCACGGCGAGACTCACTTCCTAGTACCGATGGACTCTGGCTCGGCTCAATCATTGAAAAGTGCTGGGTCGAAGGGGGTTTCCAAAACGCACATGCCTTATCACAGGCACTGTGCTCTGTGGATATAGCGCACACCAGTCTCTGGAGCAAGCTAACGTCCATGTCCTGTTGGGAGCGCCAAGGCCGTCTTCGAAACTCCGTCGTCATGCTAGCAGTAGTAGTCACTGCTGTCGCAATCGCTGGTTCTTGGACCAGGAGACAACCATTGACTAGGGATTCTATATTTTAGAGCCCTTCTTGCATGTTGATTAATGTGTGTTTATAGAGAAGATACCTTGAGTTGTTTGGTTTACTTGTACAGCCGCCAGAGGCATCAATCATCAAGATACCCTGTTCCAGGTTATTTACGCTAATTTCAATTCGGGATAAGTGAGTATCCACCTACAAATTCTAGAGATCAATGGAGCTCTTGAAATCATCAATAATGCAATTATTCCGATCATATTCAACCCGTATATCCGCATATTGAAGGCGGGATCCCAGACAAGTTCAATTGGATGCACTGACAGAACCGACTGGAGCACCAAGCCAATCCATCCCTTGTCTCACTCCACCCCTGAATACGAGTACGTAAGTCATCAACATCCGCGGCAAACCCACCACCAAGACATTCAATCAGCAGACACGCGTATACAACCTACCGTAAGGTCCCATCGAGGCAGTGCATGTCATGCGACAGGATTGCTTACTCTAAAATCCCCATGTCCCTTAGAAGGTTTCATTCCTCCTCATCCTAAAACACATTAGGTGCTTAAAACAACTTAAAACGTATATATCTACAGCGCTCCATCACCCAATGCAAGCGTTTCTTCAACCGAACACCCCCCCCCCAACGCCAACGCCGTAAGAACCCACTGCACGCCAAGCCAGAAGTTCCTCATGATCCTGCACCGGTTGTACATCCTGCATAGCAACAGTAGTGGTCGCAACGAACCCATCCTCCTCCTCAGCGGCTAGCAAAACATCAAAATCATTCCACAGAACAGCCCCAGCCCCATTTCCATCACCACCACACCCATCACCCACACCTCCAACCCATTCCCTACACGCTCCCTCCCCATCACCACCCACCCCCTTCCCCCTCATAACAATATCACCCACATACCTCCCCACCGTAACGCCCACGACCCTCTTAAACACCCTATGAAAATGACTCGGCGTCAGTCCCGCCTCCGCCGCCAACATCCGCAACGTCGGTTTCGAGCCCGCTTGCACAGAAGCCCGGATTGTCTGACATGCTCTCTGGACTGAGTGGATCTGCGGATGGAAGATAGTAGTAGTAGTACCACCATTTCTACTACTAGGAGTAGTTGTGGTATTACTATTCGCCCCCAACAAGCTGTGGTTGTTGCTATTGTCGATGACAATCTCGGGTTTGCAGCGCTTACAGGGGCGAAACCCTGCACGCTCGGCCTGCGAGGCTGTATCGTAGAAGCGGACGTTGGCTCGGCGGGCGAGACGCGCGGGACAGGTTGGGCGGCAGTAGATTTTCGTGGTGAGGACGGCGTACACGAAGGTGCTGGTGTATCTTGGGTCGCGGGTTTGGATGGCGAGCCAGCGGGTGGATGTGGATGATGGGGAGGGGAGTGGTTTTGGGAGGGGGAGAGGGGGGAGGGTTTGGGATGGTGGCATTGTAGATATAGGAGTAGTGGTTATCATTGGGGGAGGTATTATGTATATTGTAAGTAGCT